AGCCCTTATAATAATAGGATTAATAGAGGTAGCTAGATTAACTAACCTTAGAGAAGGGAGTATAATATAACCTAACTGCTTAGCGTAGGCTTAGCATATATATAACTCCTACGTATAGCGCACATTTAACCTACAAGAATTAGTCTTATCTCTAATCGAGTAATTACGGGTGTCTAATACATTGCTACATCTTTACCCTTATAACTATAGCTATTAGTTTATAGACGAGTTCGATCTAGTTAGCTACTAACCGGCTATTATTAGTAAAAGAGCCCTTAAGGCGGACACCTTAGAAGAGAAACTCCTTACTTTTAATACTACTAAACTAAAGGGCTAAATACCTTACGTAAAGTTAAATATTATCGTGTTTACTATAGATAAAACCTTATTATAAAGGGCTAGAAGGCTCTTAAGTTCCGAGCTACTATCTCCGGCTCGGTCTCTATTACTAATACCGACGAATACTATAACGATTACGGCGAACGTAGTAGCTACGCCCTTTATAGAAGCTAGCGAAGAACCGCTACCGCCTTACGTTAAGATTAAGACGACACTTCTAATAGGGTAACGCCCTATTAAAAGTAGCTTATAGAGCAGCCGTATAATCGATCTATTAAAGCTACTAGAGGTAGTAGATCTTACGAATACGGTAACGAGTAGAGCGAATACGGAAGATACGGCTTCGGCTTCTTAATTAGCTAAAGTAGCTATAGCTACTATAGCTAAGGTAAGGGCTATAAAGGTAAAGGCCGCTAAGGTAAAGGCTATAAGCGTAAAGGCCGCTAAGGCAAAGGCTACTACTACTAAGGCTAAGGTTGCTATAGTATATATAGTAACGAAGGTAGCGAATATAGTAAAGGACGTTATAAGTACTATAATAAACGTTACGAATAGCGAATAGCCTACTTTACCGTTACCTAAGTAGCTAAAGAGAAAGAAGTAATAATAAGAATTACTACTATTAGGTATAAGTCTAAGATTTACTAAAAAGTAGCGAACGCCTTAACGAACGGCTACGAGTAATATTAAGCAATTTCGAGCAAAGTTATTAGAGTATACGGTTATTATAGCTTGTTTAGCCTAAGTTAGCTTAAGTTAGCTTAAGTTAGCCTTAAAATGGCCTTGCTTTTCGTCGTATTTCCTATACTATACCTCTTAAAATATACTAAATAAATACTAAATTATATATATATAATTGCTAGATATAAAGCTTAATAACCTAAGTTTTTAAATAACTAACACTACGCGAGTGCGCCACGAGTACCGTTATAGCTATTGTTTTAGTAAGCTTAACGAGCTTAACTTCAGAATTTGAATTGTCGAAGTGTGAGATCCGGAGCTCCTTACTTTGTGGGACTTGTGGCTGACCCAGCTTCCCTTCTACTTTATTCTCTTCCACAATTTCTACGACAACGACATACACCGAGGATCATCCTCACGCCCACCGTTGGACATACTACGATACTCAAGCAGCCACTTTTCTCTCCTTGCAGATCAACCTCACATCTGGGTGTGTAATCCACTCGTCTGGGTTGACCGAATAGTCGATGCCCTTGTCCTGCGGCTGCAACTCCACCTGATAGTCCCGGATGAGGAGCGCGACGATGCTTCGCACCATTCGGTCGGCGACGTACTTGCCCATGCACTGTCTGGGTCCAAAGCCATAGCGCCACATATTGTACCGCAGCTGCGAAGACGGCGGCTATCAGTAACTGAATGGGAACAACTGCGACGGATTCTCGCTTACCTGAGATGCCTTGATACCCAGGAAACGCTCGGGCATGTACTGGTGGCTGTTGTTTCCCCAGAATGGATTACGCATGTTGAGCCCGTAGGTATCCACGATCACCATCGTCTGCATCAGGTCAGCAAAGTGTCAAATGGTGTCAGGCGGTAATGGTTACTCACGCCTCCAGAGACGACCCAATCGCCCACCTTACGGTCTGTTGGGGGAGCTTGCGGGATGGAAAATGCTTTTACATATCGTCAGCAATAGCAACACCGTCGAACGGGATCCACAATACATACGTGCCACTGGACGCAGACGAGAAGACTCGCTGATACATGCTGCAAGAAACGTGTCGCTTCTGGCAATGTACGCATTCCACGAAGTCTCATCAGCGCCTGCCTCACGCCTCACTTCCTCCGTCAGTCGAGTCTGATCCTGGAGAGATGAGGCCAAATAGATGAAGTTCCACGAAATGGCTCCGGTGGTGACATCCAAATTTGCAAAAAGAGACTCATCTAGTGTTTGGAGCAGCTGTCGAATGTCAGCCAGGCGCTTCAGCATGGGATGGAGGCACTTACCTGCACCTCACTCATCTCCCCCCTCTGAGATTGCTCCCAGAGAGCTGTCATCGGCGCATTCGCCCCTCCAGCCATTGCCTTCTTGTACATGCTTTCGTTAAAGGCCCTCCACTCTTGTTGGAACTCTCCAAGGAGCTTGTTAGCGTTGGTCGGGAGGTACTTTGACAGCCAAAATCTTCCCAGTCCTCCCTTGATGACATATGTGAAGAGCTTCTGGCGGTTAGGGGCAATCTTCCCCAGCCACTGGACGTCGATATCGTCTAGCTCTCCATACAGCAGCGTTGCCACAACCAGGAAAGGATAGAAGCTGAGATCTCGGGCTGGATCGAAGATTCCATGTTGGAAGTCTCCCTTTTTGCGCAACTTGTCGACGAACTTGATGGTCTGCTGGCGAATTATGGGCGCGTCGTTTGCGATTGCCATGTGAGAAAAGGGGACCTCCATCTGCGATCTAAGGCTTTGCCAGGCTTTCCCACTGAGCAGACCGACACATTGCCCAAGAATCTGACTCATGAGGTATCCTGAGTCGTTGTTGATAGCTTTTAGGTGCTGATCGGAATCCTTGAAGACTACTTTGAGATGCTCCGGATCAGAGATGACCCTACGTGGCGGCTGTCAGTATGAAAGTTTCATTCTCAGCATGGCTCATTCAACATACACCTCAGAAGTGGATCCGGACCAGATCCGGTAGATCGAGCCATATTTTGCGAGCCACTCTTCGGCCTTCTCACGACCTTGGAGAAACTTGGCAACGTCTCCATTGCCGTTTGGCCAACGATAGGGCAAGGATGGCATGCTCGCCGTCCGGTTTTCGTTACGGATGATGAACTTCCATTGCAAGTACCACTTGACATGTACAGGGTCAGCGTTGGGTACTCGAATATAAGTTAAGTTGACTCCATACTCACGTCGCAAATGGCGGAAAGAAGGTCGACGACCAGGTTTCTCACGATGGAACGTCCACTGACCAAAAACGCGACCCCTATGGTTGAAATGCTCACACCCCACGCGACTTTCTCAAAGTCGAGGGGTTGCAAAATTGTGCTCGCGTAGGATGCCATGTCTGGTATGTCCCGTGTGGTGATTGTGCAGATGGAAAGCACAAGTAGTGCGGAAAACCCTCATTCTAGATTTCAAGTCGGAACCCGAGGCGTGTGAAGCACGGCTACAAGGCCTGTACGACACCCTGACAAGGAATGAGGATATCATTACTTCGAACTACAACGAGACAGCCTTTACCGGACACCGATCTCGTCCCAATCCAGAGGAGATATACCCGTAGCAGCTGCGAACGCCCGGTGAAATCTTCACAACTCTGCAAGCTGCATCTTACTGAAACACAAACCCACCATGGCGAAGACACCTCCAGTCAAGTATGGCAACGTTGACTATGACGGCAAACCCATTCTTTATGTGGTCAAAGGTGTTCTAATGCACGTCAAAAATCACGTTGGCTCGGCACTGACGAACTTCGCAGCAACGAAAACATCTTACATCAACTACATGAAGGTGTTGATGCTCGCAGAAGAGCTCAAGATAGATTACGACATCTCCGTAGTCGTCACCAAGGATGAGTGGTATCAACCCATTCATCCAGAACGCTATGTCCCAACCATTCGAGACCGATGTGCCGAGACTAAGCAGGATCTCTATGTCTTTGAGAGCACTGCTTGCCTGCAGTACTTGGCTGATGTCTACGACAAAGATGGAGATTGGTGCGGTAGGAATATGAAGGAAAAGGGCGACATCCTGTCCTGGATCGCATACCAGACTGCTGGACTCGRGTACGTGGGCAGCATTTCCCTTTCCGAGGTCACTGGCTCGCGAACCGGCATGAGCGCTGACGGGAATGATAGAGCAACTTCCAAATACTGGCTGTACTTTTACGCTGTTCACGACGAGAAGCTGCCCAAGGCAATCGACAAGTAAGTGGTTCAAACTCTCTACAATACGATCAAATGGCTGATGTATCTCCAACAGGCTCTATGCCAACAAACTGAAGCAGTGGGATATTCTGGAGAAGCGTCTGTCACAGCCAGGCCAAGAATACGTCGCATTGAAAGACCGTCCCACGGTCGCCGACTTGGCTTATCTCCCTTTCGCCATGCCGTACATGTTTGAGTTTATGAAAGTCAAGATTGAGGATTGGCCGAAGATCAAGGCGTGGTCGGATCGGATGCTGAGTCGTCCTGCTGTTCGTAAAGTGTTGGATTTTGCTCCCACGATAGGGAATGAGGAATAGCTTCATCATGACGACTTGATCTCTACTCTAGATAGAATGATAACAACTCCTTTTCTGTCATTCTCGAGTCTTCATGTTGTGTATGGTGTTCTAAAATGGAAAAACTCTAATTGAATCTACTTAAGGGAAAATTCCTCGGCTATATAGTCCTGCCTAAGTTACGTAGCTACTTGAGCCTTAGGCATACATACTTAGTTCTTAAGTGGAGACTTTAAGAACATCCTCCCCTACTAAGTCGTTTTGCCCTTAAAACTATAGGAGTTACTTAAGAGACCTAAGGGGTCCCTATAGGTTATTTTATAGRGCCCTATCGCTTAAGTAAAAGGCTTAGACGTAGGGTTCACTTCTACCTTRCTATAAGCTATATCCTTTATATAGCTAGCGGCTTAGRGYAGCACGTATATAGCGCATACGATTAGCTACTTCGGCTTAAGTAGGTAGTTATAGCGTAGCGGAGCGGGAGTAGTATACGGGGTGCGGGAGCGTCGAGGCGTAATACATATCCGGTAGCTTAAGAGCTGCTAGGGCATATATTAACTCGCCTCTCTTAATCTACTAACCTTCTCCTCCGTATTTATATCTATCTTCCCCTTCCCTAATTAAGTCCCTTAATTAATACTTCCCCTTCCTCTATCTATTATATACGTCTTCTCTTATACTAGCTATATATATTAAGAAGCTATAGGCGATAGGCGTATAACTCGTAGCTAGGCGGAGGGATCTAAGAAGAGCGATAACGGCGATAAGGGTAAGAAGGGTAACGGTTAAGACTCGCTAGTTACCCTAAGCGCGAAATTACTCGGAAAGTAACCTACGGCGAATACTAGTAATATTATTATAAGCTTAAGGCGCTCTTTACGCTCTTATAACTTAGGCGCTATTTTAGGCTTATCTCTAGGTAAGGCAACTTCTAAGCTACGTCTAAGTCTCTCTAAGGCGGATCTCCGGAAGGAGAGGGAACTATAGGTAATTAAGGAAGCTTTAAGTCCTTAATCTCCTAGTTACGGCACTCTAAGCCGTAGTATAAGCGTTTAGCGGAAGCTAGTGCCCGTAATTCCGGCGGTAGCGATAGCTACTCGTATAGAATAYRAGAAGTTCGGGTTCGATTAAGTTAGCGGTTAAGTAAGTAAGGCGAGCCTTCGCTAGGGAAATAATAAGAYATCGTCCTTTAATCCCCTCTTAAACCGCTCCTTARAGAACTTCCCCYRAAGCTTTCGTAGGTAATACGATAGTCTCTTAGTCTTTCGGCCTCGTAGTTAAGGCGGTTTTAATCTAGTAGCTACCTCGGAGCGGCTGCTTATACGGTTAGTAACTCTCTTAGAGCCGAGTGCGATAAGCTTAGATAGTATCCTAGGCTTCTTACGYATTACCGATRCTTAGATACGTAAGGTAATGTTTATCCTAATCCTTCTTAATAGGCGCGTTAGGCTATAAGAGCGCCTTAAGAAGTACGAAATCTATAAGCTAGGCGCTATTATCGAGGCCTTATACTAATATTAGCYRGACGACCTTCGCCCTATCGAATAGAAYACGAATATCGGCTATATRCCTAACTACTTRCTATAGTAGCGTTTAGGCTCTCTTTTTTCTTAAGCGCTAGGCGGAGCGCCTAAGTAGGCTTATAGRTRCCGTYRTAAGACCCGYACGATTAGCCCGTTTAAGGAGTRTCGTTACGGAGGACTTAAGTAGGGAGCTTACGGCAATTGTCTCTAGGGCAATTATTAGTAGGAGTGTAACTTAGCCGACTAAACTATAGTTAAGAGCAGGAAGATATAGACTCCTAGGAAGAAGCCTTAAGCTAGTCCTTCTATTACTCCGGCATCTCGGCGTCGTTAGCTTAATAATACTAGGAGCAGAGAGGTGTCGATTATCTCTATCTCTTCTACTAAGACGAGATTGTCTAGTACTTCTAGTTCTTCTTAGAATAGTAGTCTAAGCTAGTAGCTATTATAGGGCATCTAAGAAGCTAAGATCCTAGACTTAACTAAGGAGGATAAGAAGGAACGATTATAGTAGGCAATTGCCCTCTCTCTTAAGATTACTCGCTCCGGCCCTAGTAGAATCTATCCGCTAGGTTAAGCAAACGCTCCTTAATTAAGCAAGGTTGCTCCGCTAGTCGGCTATTCTTAGGGCCTAACGGTTTTCGGCTTAAGTAACCTCTTCTCTCGTGCTGTCGGATTAAGCGCTAACTAAGTGCTACTAGTTAATAGTCCTAGCGATAAGTATATAGGGCCTAAGGGTCCTATTACTTCGAGTAATATCTAAGAGCGTATAACGACGTTCTAGCGCTACTTAACGAGTGTTTATATAGCGAATACTAATCCTACGCGATCGCTTTAGGACACCGTTAACCGCTTATATACGAGGGCGTAGGCGGCCTTAGACGACTATTAGGATCCGAATACGCCTTAGATCCGGTTCTTATAGGTATAGGCGGCGGCCTTAATAGTGGATTTTAAGAAGAATGCTTAGTAGTTCGGTAGATACAAGCTAAAGAAGTAAGATTAGGTGGCTTAATAAAATTTCCTTATAGTTAGGCATTGCTTAGAGCGTTAGCTATCCCTTTAAGCTAGAACGTTTTTTCTAAGGCTCTATAAAACAACCTCTATTATCTAGCTATCTTATTTGCGAGCGTTGCTTAATCGATAGGAAAATAGAATAAAAATAACAAAACAGTGCTTAAATAATGCAACCGTCTTAATCCTTCCTTAATTTCGTAACTTAGCTATAACCTTGCGACTTAATCGCAAGCTATAGCCTATGTTAGCTAACTTCCTCTATACTACCCGAGCAGGATCTCCGCTTAGGTAGTTAGTAGTAGTTGTCTTATATAGTAGAGGTGTCTTAGTCTTAGTCGCTAGAGGAGTTGCCTTAGGCGGTCTCCCTCTTCGTCGTAGGATCGTTAAGGGCAATTCCTCCCCTACTAGCTCCTTCCTTAGGGCAGCGCTAGGGCTTCTATTCTGCCTTAGGGGTAGAGCTAGGATAGCAATAGGATAAGAAGGTTTAGCACTTAAGTTATTTAGGTTATTACTAGGGATCTAGTTTCTRCTTAAGGGAGCGTTTAGGGGCTAGATTAGATAGCCTTTAGTATTATAGGAGGYACTTAGGCTATCGGTTTCCTATAGTAGGTCTTCTTAGGCCGTAGGTTCTAGCTCTRTTACTCTYTTARGGAGACTAGYAACGAGGTTTTTAACTRCTAGGTTAACTTAGGCATCTTCCCTAGGTRTCGTAGYAGGATTTAGAGGCTAYATAATAGYAGGCCGCTAACTTAGAGGATTCTTTTTTAACTCCTAATAGCGTTTCTTTTTAAGAGTAGCTCGTAAAGCTTCTGCTTGCTTTACGCTCTCTTAACTTGCGCGTAAAACTTCGCTATTGCTTTTCCGGATTT